CTTATTATGATTATAATGATTATTATTGTTGTTATATTACTGTTTGTCTGTCTGTCTTTCTAACCGTCTGCTTGCTAGTCCCTATTACATTTTATTCCCAGAATACTTTCATTCCCCACATATTCAGTGTGTTATTAGTGAGAAAGAAAGAAAGTTTTTTCTTGGTTTTGTTTTAATTTCTTTACACATTTGAAAATGTATTTTTAAAAAGGCGACACCCCATTAAAATAATATAAAATTAAAATGGCAATTATATTTATTATCTTGAAAGTTGATTTTCATTCACTCACATGCCATTCAATGTTTAAAATGTAAGAAAACTAATTATGTATTTATTTATGTATTTGAAAATCTTGCGAATATATTTTGGTAGGAATTGGCAAATTATAATTCATATAACGGTAAAAAGAATATAATAAATTAAATATTCGAAACAATTGCAAAGTGAACACAATGTTTTACTCTAATTACAATCTATATATAGTCTATAGCCCAGACTATAGTCTAGTTTATAGTGCAGTCTATAGTCTAGTCTATGGCCAAGTATACAGTCTAGTCTATAGTCTAGTCTATAGTATAGTCTATAGTCCAATCTATAGTCTAGTCTATAGTCTAGTCTATTTTCTAGTCTATAGTCTAGTCTATAGTCTAGTATCTATAGTCTAGTCTATAGTCTAGTCTATAGTCTAGTCTATAGTCTAGTCTAGTCTATAGTCTAGCCTATAGTCTAGTCTAGTCTAGTGTATAGTCTGGACTATAGTCTAGTCTATGGTCTAGTCTATAGTCTAGTCTATAGTCTAGCCTATAGTATAGTCTATAGTCTAGTCTATAGTCCAATCTATAGTTTAGTCTATAGTGTAGTCTATAGTCTAGTCTACAGTCTAGTCTATAGTCTAGTCTATAGTCTAGTCTATAGTCTAGTCTAGTATAGTCTGGACTATAGTCTAGTCTATAGTCTAGTCTAGTCTAGTCTATAGTAGTCTATAGTCTAGTCTATAGTCTAGTCTATAGTCTAGTCTATAGTCTAGTCTATAGTCTAGTCTATAGTCTAGTCTATAGTCTAGTCTATAGTCTAGTCTATAGTCTAGTCTATAGTCTAGTCTATAGTCTAGTCTATAGTCTAGTCTATAGTCTAGTCTATAGTCTAGTCTATAGTCTAGTCTATAGTCTAGTCTATAGTCTACTCTATAGTCTAGTCTATGGTCTAGTCTATAGTCTAGTCTACAGTCTAGTCTATAGTCTAGTCTATAGTCTAGTCTATAGTCTAGTCTATAGTCTAGTCTATTAGTATAGTCTATAGTCTAGTCTCTAGTCTAGTCTATAGTCTAGTCTATAGTCTAGTCTATAGTCTAGTCTTAGTCTAGTCTATAGTCTAGTCTATAGTCTAGTCTATAGTCTAGTCTATAGTCTAGTCTATAGTCTAGTCTATAGTCTAGTCTATAGTCTAGTCTATAGTCTAGTCTATAGTCTAGTCTATAGTCTAGTCTATAGTCTAGCTTATAGTCTAGTCTATAGTCTAGTTCTATAGTCTAGTCTATAGTCTAGCCTATAGTCTAGTCTATAGTCTAGTCTAGTCTAGTCTATAGTCTAGTCTATAGTCTAGTCTATAGTCTAGCCTATAGTCTAGTCTATAGCCTAGTCTATAGTCTAGTCTATAGTCTAGTCTATAGTCTAATCTATAGTCTAGTCTATAGTCTAGCCTATAGTCCAGTCTATATTCTAGTCTATAGTCTAGTCTATAGTCTAGTCAATAGTCTAGTCTATAGTCTGGTCTACAGTCTAGTCTATAGTCTAGTCTATAGTCTAGTCTATAGTGTAGTCTATGGTCTAGTCTACAGTCTAGTCTATAGTCTAGTCTATAGTCTAGTCTATAGTCTAGTCTATCGTCTAGTCTATAGTCTAGTCTATATTCTAGTCTATAGTCTAGTCTATAGTCTAGTATATAGTATAGTCCTATAGTCTAGTCTATAGTCTAGTCTATAGTCTAGTCTAGTCTATAGTCTAGTCTATATTCTAGTCTATAGTCTAGTCTTTAGTTTAGTCTATAGTCTAGTCTATAGTCGAGTCAATAGTCTAGTCTATAGTCTAGTCTATAGTCTAGTCTATAGTCTAGTCTATAGTCTAGTCTTTAGTCTAGTCTATCGTCTAGTCTAGTCTATAGTCTAGTCTATAGTCTAGTCTATAGTCTAGTCTATAGTCTAGTCTATAGTAGTCTAGTCTTATGTCTAGTCTAGTCTATAGTCTTGTCTATAATCTAGTCTACTAGTCTAGTCTATAGTCTAGTCTATGGTCTAGTCTATAGTCTAGTCTATAGTCTAGTCTATAGTCTAGTCTATGGTCTAGTCTATAGTCTAGTCTATAGTCTAGTCTATAGTCTAGTCTATAGTCTAGTCTATAGTCTAGTCTATAGTCTAGTCTATAGTCTAGTCTATAGTCTAGTCTATAGTCTAGTCTATAGTCTAGTCTATAGTCTAGTCTATAGTCTAGTCTATAGTCTAGTCTATAGTCTAGTCTATAGTCTAGTCTATAGTCTAGTCTAGTCTAGTCTATAGTCTAGTCTATAGTCTCGTCTATAGTCTAGTCTATAGTCTAGTCTATAGTCCTAGTCTATAGTCTAGTCTATAGTCTAGTCCGATAGTCTAGTCTATAGTCTAGTCTATCTAGTCCTAGTCTATAGTCTAGTCTATAGTCTAGTCCTATAGTCTAGTCTATAGTCTAGTCTATAGTCTAGTCTATAGTCTAGTCTATAGTCTAGTCTATAGTCTAGTCTATAGTCTAGTCTATAGTCTAGTCTATAGTCTAGTCTATAGTCTAGTCTATAGTCTAGTCTATAGTCTAGTCTATAGTCTAGTCTATAGTCCTAGTCTATAGTCCTATATTCTAGTCTATATTGTATTCTATAGTCTAGTGTATAGTCTAGTCCTATAGTCTAGTCTATATTCTAGTCTATAGTCTAGTCTATATTCTGTCTATAGTCTAGTTTATAGTCTAGTCTATATTCTAGTCCATAGTCCTAGTCTATAGTCTAGCCAATGTCTAGTCTATAGTCTAGTCGATAGTCTAGTCTATAGTATAGTCTATAGCATAGTATATAGTCTAGTCCGTAGTCTAGTCTATATTCTACTCTATAGTCTAGTCTATAGTATAGTATATAGTTTAGTCTATAGTATAGTATGTAGTCTAGTCTAGTATATAGTGTAGTCTATAGTATAGTATATAGTCTAGTCCTATATTCTAGTCTATATTGTAGTCTATAGTCTAGTGTATAGTCTAGTCTATATTCTAGTCTATAGTCTAGTCTATATTCTAGTCTATAGTCTAGTTTATAGTCTAGTCTATAGTCTAGTCCATAGTCTAGTCTATAGTCTAGTCTATAGTCTAGTCTATAGTCTAGTCTATAGTCTAGTCTATAGTCTAGTCTATAGTCTAGTCTATAGTATAGTCTATAGCATAGTATATAGTCTAGTCTATAGTATAGTATATAGTCTAGTCTATAGTATAGTATATAGTCTAGTCTATCTTCTAGTCTATATTCTAGTCTATAGTCTAGTCTATAGTCTAGTCTATAGTCTAGTCTATAATCTAGTCTATAGTCTAGTCTATAGTCTAGTCTATAGTCTAGTCTATAGTCTAGTCTATAGTCTAGTCTACAGTCTAGTCTATATTCTAGTCTATAGTCTAGTCTATAGTCTAGTGTATAGTCTAGTCTATAGTCTAGTCTATAGTCTAGTCTATAGTCTATTCTATATTCTAGTCTATAGTCTAGTTTATAGTCTAGTCTATAGTCTAGTCCGTAGTCTAGTCTATATTCTACTCTATAGTCTAGTCTAGTCTATAGTATAGTATATAGTTTAGTCTATAGTATAGTATGTAGTCTAGTCTAGTATATAGTGTAGTCTATAGTATAGTATATAGTCTAGTCTATATTCTAGTCTATATTGTAGTCTATAGTCTAGTCTATAGTCTAGTCTATAGTCTAGTCTATAGTCTAGTCTATAGTCTAGTCTATATCCTAGTCTATAGTCTAGTCTATATTCTAGTCTATAGTCTAGTTTATAGTCTAGTCTATAGTCTAGTCCATAGTCTAGTCTATAGTCTAGTCTATGGTCTAGTCTATAGTCTAGTCTATAGTATAGTCTATAGCATAGAATATAGTCTAGTCTATAGTATAGTATAGTCTAGTCTAAGTATAGTATAGTAGTATAGTCTAGTCTATAGTCTAGTCTATAGTCTAGTCTATAGTCTAGTCTAGTCTATTATAGTCTAGTCTATAGTCTAGTCTATAGTCTAGTCTATAGTCTAGTCTATAGTCTAGTCTATAGTCTAGTCTATAGTCTAGTCTATAGTCTAGTCTATAGTCTAGTCTATAGTCTAGTCTATAGTCTAGTCTATAGTCTAGTCTATAGTCTAGTCTATAGTCTAGTCTATAGTCTAGTCTATAGTCTAGTCTATAGTCTAGTCTATAGTCTAGTCTATAGTCTAGTCTATAGTCTAGTCTATAGTCTAGTCTATAGTCTAGTCTATAGTCTAGTCTATAGTCTAGTCTATAGTCTAGTCTATAGTCTAGTCTATGGTCTATTCTATAGTCTAGTCTATAGTCTAGTCTATAGTCTAGTCTATAGTCTAGTCTATAGTCTAGTCTATAGTCTAGTCTATAGTCTAGTCTATAGTCTAGTCTATAGTCTAGTCTATAGTCTAGTCTATAGTCTAGTCTATAGTCTAGTCTATAGTCTAGTCTATAGTCTAGTCTATAGTCTAGTCTATAGTCTAGTCTATAGTCTAGTCTATAGTCTAGTCTAGTCAGTCTATAGTCTAGTCTATATTCAGTTCTTTTACATTATTTTTACAGTTTTTTTACTTTTGTTTCCTTCCTTTCCTCATTTACAGTTATTCAATTGCCAACAAGTTAATACAATTGCAGCATTTGTACCAAAAATAATATCATAATTTATTTATCAACATTAATCCTAATCGCCCCTCTCTGTAGTGTTGCACAAAATTTAATTGCTTTTAACATGCAAATTGAAATGTAATTCGGAAAAAAAAAACTGGAAAAAAATGTGGACAAAAGACTCAAAATTATAACAACAAGTAATGATTTTTTTCACCCATGAATTAATTGCTTTTGTTGGAAAGAAGAAGAAAAAAAACTTAAGTAAAAAACAACTTGTTAATCTCAAGCCACAATTGTTTCGAACTAACTGTAGGTGCATCTAAAATTTCAGCAGAGATATGGAGCAAGAAAAAAACTGCAATTATTAAAGTGCATCAGTTGAAGTGGTACTACAATTGTCTTGTCTAAAAACACCTTCTGGAGGCACACGTGAGAAGCTGATGTTAAAGTTGAGTTTGTGCTTTAACTAACTGGCTGGCAGATTGTCTGTAGTTGTTGTCAATGCGGTTGAGTTTGTAGTTTTTGTTTGTATGGACAAGTATTTCCTGCATACACAAGGGTGCATTCATTCATTTATTGTTCATCATTAACAGCAACGGCAACAACATCATTGTCGTCTTCGTCATAATCATACTGAGGAACCACAAACAAAACAATATCGGTATAAGTTTTTTATGTCTGTGCTTTTTTTTCTTCTTCAGCTTGGAGTCTTAACAATGAAATGCATTTTGAATTATGCTGCTGCCGCTGCATCTCAATACAAAAACATATCTTGAGGTCCCCTAACATGGCTGGTATTTTGGTGTGGCATACTAGAGGTAGAGTAGTTGAAACAGAGTGTGATATAAGTTTAAAAGCAAAAATTTGTATATAAAACACTATGGACCGGACTATATACTGGAGACTACACTATAAACCCGACTATATACTAGACTATGGTCCAGACTAAAGACTAGACTATGGGTCCAGACTAAAGACTAGACTATAGACAAGACAATAGTACAGCCTATAGAAAGGACTAAAGTCCAGACTATAGACTAGACTATAGTTCAGACTATAGAATAGACTATAGTACAGACTATAGTCGAGACTATGGTTCAGATCATAGACTAGACTATAGTCCAGTCTATAGTTCAGACTATAGAATAGACTAGAGTACAGACTATAGACTAGACTATAGTCCAGACTACTATATATACTAGGCTATAGTCCAGACTATAGGCTAGACTATAGGCTAGACTATAGGCTAGACTATAGGCTAGACTATAGTCCAGATTATAGACTAGACTATAGTCCAGACCATAGGCTAGACTATATTCCAAACTATAGGCTAGACTATATTCCAGACTATAGACTTGACTATAGTCCGGACAATAGATTAGGCTATAGTCCAGACTATAGACTAAACTATAAACTATAGTATAGTACTGTAGACTAGACTATACTCCAGACTACAGACTAGACTATAGGCCAGACTATAGACTAGACTATAGACCAGGCTATGGTCCAGACTATAGACTAGACTACAGTCCAGATTATAGACTAGACTATAGTCCTATAGACTATAGTTCAGGTGATAGACTATAGACTATAGTACAGACTATAGACTAGACTACAGTCCAGATTATATACACTTTACTATAGTCCAGATTATAGACTAGACTATAGTACAAACTATAGAATAGACTATAGAAAAGTCTATAGTCCAGACTATAGTACAGACTATAGACTATACTATAGTCCAGGCTATAGACTGGACTATAGTCCAGAATTTATACTAGCTATAGTCCAGAATATAGACTAGACTATGGTCCAGACTATAGATTAGACTATAGTCCAGACTATAGACTATACTATAGTCCAGAATTTAGACTAGACTATAGTCCAGACCATAGATTAGACTATAGTCAAAACTATAGACTAGATTGTGGTGCAGACTATAGACTAGACTATAGTCCAGACTATAGACTAGACTATAGTCCAGACTATAGACTAGACTATAGTTCAGACTATAGACTAGACTATAGTCCAGACTATAGACTAGACTATAGTCCAGAATATAGACTAGACTATAGACTGGACTATAGTCCAGACTATACACTAGGCTATAGTCCAGACTATAGACTAGACTATAGTCCAGACTATACACTAGACTATAGTCCAGACTATATACTAGACTTTAGGCCAGACTATACACTAGACTATAGTCCAGACTATATACTAGACTTTAGGCCAGACTATACACTAGACTATAGTCCAGACTATAGAATAGACTATAGTCCAGACTATAGACTTGATTTTAATCCAGGTTATAGACTAGACTATTGTCCAAACAATAGACTAGACTATAGTGCAGACTATATTATAGACTACAGACCATGGGTTCGTTATCTTTAAAAATCAAATTGCGCTTATTGCTCTTAAACTTATCTGCCGTACATAGACTATAGACTAGACTATAGTCTAGACTATAGACAATACTATAGTCCAGAATATAGACTAGACTATAGACTGGACTATAGTCCAGATTATAGACTAGACTATAGACTGGACTATAGTCCAGATTATAGACTAGACTGTAGTCTAGACTGTAGACTATACTATAGTCCAGACTATACACTAGACTATAGTCCAGACTATAAACTAGACTATAGTCCAGACTATAGAATAGACTATAGTCCAGACTATACACTAGACTATAATCTAGACTATAGACTAGACTTTAGGCCAGATTATTCACTAGACTATAGTCCAGACTATAGAATAGACTACAGTCCAGACTATAGACTTGATTTTAATCCAGATTATAGACTAGACTTTAGTCCAAACAATAGACTAGACTATAGTGCAGACTATATTATAGACTACAGACCAAGGGTTCGTTATCTTAAAAAATCAAATTGCGCTTATTGCTCTTAAACTTATCTGCCGTACTATATGGATATCTGTAGTATTAATGTCGGTTTATTGTTTTTGTTGGAGCCATAGTATTTACATTTTTATTTCATTTTAATATTACGACTTGTGGATATTTGTATCGGAAATAGGGTCTTCTCGTGTTTTTTTTGGAATTAAAAAAACTTTTTCATACTTTAATTTTGACTGAGCTTTTATGACTTTGGCACGCGATATGTATATTTTTCTTTCAACACAAGAAAACCAACAAAAACTCCCAGATACTTCTTATAAAACCAGTGTCGGAAGTTTTTTATATTGTTGTTGTTGTTGTTATAAATTGTAACATGTTATTTTGTTGCAACGTCTTTTGTACCTCATAATACAAGTAATTGTCTGTTTGTGCATTGTCAATAATACTCTCGAGTACCTGAGAGTACTTGTAAAGTATGTATTTCTTTTTGGCTTAATAGTTGTGATATTTGTTGCAGTTGTTGCTGCAACTTGCAACTTTATTACAATTATATGATTTATAAATATGTCTTTAACATCTTTTCAATTTTGAGTTGTGCATGCGTGCATGTGTGTCCAAGAGCATCATAAGTAATTGACCGACCGACCGCTCGACCAACCAACAGAAACTGAATCCGAAAACAAATTTGCAGTTTTGATCTCTGCTGGTAGTTGTTAATTAACCAGATGGAAATAAACATTTTTACTGCCATAAAAGACAACCCGCTGACATTTCAACACAAGTGCTAACAATAACATGATTATCCCACAAACGCGACAGGTGGAGATGGATTTTGTAAATAATTTGTCATAAATGGATTTCAAACGATCTAAAGAACAATATTCTATATTTTTCTTAACTACTCTCTAATCCAAAATTTGGAGAACATAACTCTCTATAAGATAGACTAGACTATAGACTAGACTATACACTAGACTATAGACTAGACCATATTCTAGACTATAGATTAGACTGTAGACTAGACTATAGACTAGACTATAGACTAGACTATAGACTAGACTATAGACTAGACTATAGACTAAACTATAGACTAGACTATAGACTAGACTATAGACTAGACTATAGACTAGACTATAGACTAGACTATAGATTAGACTAGACTATAGACTAGACTATTGATTAGCTTAGACTATATACTTGTCTATACACTAGACTATAAACTAGGCTACAGACTAGACTATAGGCTAGACTATAGGCTAGACTATAGGCTAGACAATAGACTAGACTACAGACTAGACTATAGACCAGATTATAGACTAGACTATAGACTAGACTATAGACTAGACTATAGACTAGACTATAGACTAAACTATAGACTAGACTATAGACTAGACTATAGACTAGACTATAGACTAAACTATAGACTAGACTATAGACTAGACTATAGACTAGACTATAGACTAGACTATAGACTAGGCTATAGACTAGACTATAGACTAGACTATAGACTAGACTATAGACTAGACTATAGACTATACTACAGACTAGACTACAGACTAGACTATAGACTAGACTATAGACTAGACTATAGACTAGACTATAGACTAGACTATAGACTAGACTATAGACTAGACTATAGACTAGACTATAGACTAGACTATACACTAGACTATAGACTAGACTATAGACTAGACTATAGACTAGACTATAGACTAGACTATAGACTAGACTATAGACTAGACTATAGACTAGACTATATACCATACCACAGGCTAAACCAGAGACTAGATTATAGTCTAGTCTATATAGACTAGAATATAGTCTAGACTATAGACTAGACTATAGACTGTACTATAGAATATACTATAGACTAGACTATAGAGTATACTATAGACTATACTATAGACAAGACTACAGACTATACCATAGACTAGACTAGAGACTAGACTGTAGACTAGACTATAGACTAGACTATAGACTAGACTATAGACTAAACTATAGACTAGACTATAGACTAGACTATAGACTAGACTATAGACTAGAGTATAGACTAAACTATAGACTAGACTATAGACTAGACTATAGACTAGACTATAGACTAGACTATAGACTAGACTATAGACTAGACTATAGACTTGACTATAGACTAGACTATAGACTAGACTATAGACTAGATTAGACTATAGACTAGACTAGACTATAGACTAGAATATATACCATACCACAGGCTAAACCAGAGACTAGATTATAGTCTAGTCTATATAGACTAGAAGATAGTCTAGACTATAGACTAGACTATAGACTATACTATAGACTATACTATAGACTATACTATAGACTAGACTATAGACTATACCATAGACTAGACTAGAGACTAGACTGTAGACTAGACTATAGACTAAACTATAGACTAGACTATAGACTAGACTATAGACTAGACTATAGACTAGACTATAGAGTAGAGTATAGACTAAACTATAGACTAGACTATAGACTAGACTATAGACTAGACTATAGACTAGACTATAGACTAGACTGTAGACTAGACTATAGACTAGACTATAGACTAGACTATAGACTAGACTATAGACTAGACTATAGACTAGACTATAGACTAGACTAGACTATAGACTAGATTAGACTATAGACTAGACTAGACTATAGACTAGAATATATACCATACCACAGGCTAAACTAGAGACTAGATTATAGTCTAGTCTATATAGACTAGAATATAGTCTAGACTATAGACTAGACTATAGACTAGACTATAGACTATACTATAGACTATACTATAGACTATACTATAGACTATACTATAGACTAGACTATAGACTAGACTATAGACTATACCATAGACTAGAGACTAGACTGTAGACTAGACTATAGACTAGACTATAGACTAGACTATAGACTAGACTATAGACTAGACTATAGACTAGACTATAG